TCTTCCTAATGCTCTAGGTTTGAGGGGACCGACTGCATCTTTTCTGACTCCTTCTAGACTGAGTAACAAGTCTCCTGTAAGCTCCTTGAGGCAAGGACTAAAAGTCTTCTCAAGAGTCTGTGCACTGCCCACCCTTGGGGCTGGGACCTCAGGGGACCTGCGAGCACTGCTACGATATTTTTCCCATATTTGTAGTACACTGATCATGGCAACTATCGGCAGCTCTTAACAAGGTGGGATGGATTAAAAACAGCAGGCGTTGGGTAACATGGAAACAAGGCTAAAATCAGCACCCCATCCCAAAGGTCAAGAAGTCTACGACACATGGCATGGGCATAAGATGCTGTGCACGACTGCTCTAGGCGTTTTGTGCACGAGGGCCTGCACGGACCATTGAGCTCTCCCTGATGAGCGCATAGCCTTGGTGAGAGGAGAAGCGGGTCCTTTTGTCAGGGAGCTTTACACCAGAAAGTAGGCTGCTCTGTGAACTTTAGACAAGGAGGGGAACAAAAGCCTATGAGAAAGCCCTAAAAAGCAATGGTTCAGGTAGCTGAGCGAGATCGGAAATCCAGCTCGCGTAGCTTGGCGGAGCGAGGTCTGGCCCAGCAGCACGTATGCTGCGGTCGCTAGTGCCTGATGCTCCACTTCACAGCTATCATTGCCCCCGCTCGCTGGATTCAAGGTAGCCCAGCACCGCTGCTCCTGCTAAAAATCACACCAGCATCTGGCTGGAGATAACCATCCTCAACTGCAACCCTTCTGGCTGAAGGGCACTCGAGCTTAGGAGACCTCCCACAGCTCCCCTTGGCTTTAGCTGGATCCAGGGATGCTCAGTGGCTCTGAATAAAGGTCAGTTGCTACAGAAGTACAACTCTTTCTTTTCATGTGGACAAAGGAAAGCCTGCCATCAGTTCTGATCAGACCTGAACCAGATTCTGGTTGCGATGGCTGAGCCTGTCCTTTTGGGGTGTTACATTCTGGACAGTCTGGAACGGCAGCCTGCTTCACGGTGGTTTCTGGCACCTCATAATCTTAGTGGTTTGCCAAGACCTACCCTGTGATTTATGATGGAGGAAACAAATTCAAGCACCAATGAGAGAAAAATATGTAAACTAAGTTACTCAGCTCAGTAAAAGGTATTAACTTCTTTGAGCTTTTATGGAGTGTACAGCTGACAATACAGATTCAACAGGTGGGGAGGGGGGGGGAAAAAAAACCACACTCAGTGAAATACAATAAGTATAGTAGTAGGGGCTTAAATTCACCTAAAAAGCTTCCAAACAGACACATCCCCTTTCCCCTCCATCTACCAGGAACTTGTGTTGCGTGCGTCTGGTTACAAACTTATCCCTCACATCACCCTTTCCACCATGAACAAACCCTACAAACTTTCTGTTACAGAAAAGTCCCAAGTTAGATCATAAAGTCTACAAAAGTATCAAGAATTACTTGACAAAAGAACATTTCAGTTCTGAAGGGATAAATTCCAGGCATTCGACCTACATGCACATATAAGATTTGTTTAATAAACTCGCTATTATCCTACTCTAGGAGTTTTTATATCAAAGTTAAAACTATGCCTCCCTTTTGCACTGACTGGTGTTAAAAAACAGATTTCCACTATGAAGACACACTGTGAAGTACAAAAACATAACAAAATACAGAACTAGGAGCATTTGCAATGCTCTACAAACAAACAGAGATCAAAAGGCAAAAGATGGAGAAGGCCTGTTCCCAACCCTTTCCGCGTTGCGAGCCAATGTAAAAATTAGAAGCTGTTCTGGTTTGTTCTTTCATCCAAGCAGCTCTTGTAACTCATTTGGCGTTGTACGAGCCAAAAACAAAGTCCAGACAAGTATAGTGATATTCATGCTTAAGAACCAAATCATTTGAACTATTAGAGCGTGAATAAAAATGAGACCTAATCCATCATTTTTAAATAGCAAATATCAGCAGATACGCTACCTCGGTGATATTAAAACCCGATTTGCTTGTGGCCAGGCTCTAGATTTCCCGCAACCACCCCATAAGCAGCTCTCTGCCAGTTACACCCTACATTTGGCAAAAACATCTGCACACTCTGGACACTGGAGTCAAGTTCAGAAAGAAGAGAAGTAGCAGTATGTGACCGATGGGAACTGCAAGCAGATCTCCACCTTTAACTGATACATTCTTCCAGGTATGAACTTTAAATAAATGGAAATCCAGGGAATCCTCACTCCCATCTGACCTTCCAGCTCTGTGTGGCCACTGCTCCTGGCCGGACATCTGACCGTATTTGTTTTCTGTCTGTACACAGTTAGTGCCTGGAGGTACTGAGCTGACCCTAGCTAGGAAGGGTGGAGCTCGACTCATCCCTGCCCAGAGCAGATGTTCTCATACTCCAGTGCACGCTCCCAACACGGTGACAAAAACTATCATTTTCTTCCCAGTTTCAAACAAGTGTCTGAAAGCAAGGTATGAAAGCCACGCTCACCACAAGCACTTACTCCTACTGAAACCCCATTACCCCAGCTCCCCAGGGACTGCACAGTATGGTTTTCCCATTGAAAAAAAGGGAAATGGAGAAAAAGGTGAAAGCATGCGTCTAAGGCCACGTAACAGAAGACAGGGCCTCAGCCTCCCAGTTTCCACTTTAACTGGGGAAGTTACACACCTGACCCAGGTAAACAAATGGTTTCCCATTTTTTTTCCCAAGTTAATAGGAAGCCCCCCTGTTCTGATAAGGAGGATTATTCCTTTACGCAGTCAAAGGAGAGGGCACATCTGAGGCTAATGGAGCAGTCAGTATAACACTGCCTGCATTTCCCAAGGGTGTTATCCCTAGCAATACTCCTGTGAGAGTCCTGGCAGCAACCACACTCCTTGGCTGACCTCCCTTTCCTTGGAAATAAGTGCTTAAATACCCTGGCAAATAAGCAAGCCCTGTGCTCGGTCTTTTGCCCCCCACGGGGCAATGTGTCCCTTGGCAATCAAAATCTTGCTCTGCGAAGCCAATGTAACACGCACACAAAACGCGTTTGGCTGAAAGAGCAGCAGAGAGCATGTTGCCGAGCGGCGCTGTACTAGTGTAGCATCTGACCCTGTATCTCTTTGGAAATCATACAACTCTGCTAATGCAGTCCTCAAAGAATTAATCAAGCAGATTGTTAGGACCCGGTTTCTGTGAAGCCAGCCAATTACGAGCAGCGCAGAAATTTGTCCAACTACATTTTCCCACATAAAGATGAACAGGACAGGGTGGAAAGCGAGCCCCATTCGCAGAATGTCCTGGCCTGGGCATCACCAAAGAGAAACACCAGCAAAACAGATTGAGAACTGTTCACTTTTAAAACGAGAAGTGTTGTTGCTGCTTTCTGCCTCGTCACCCAGACCGCTGAACAAAAGGAAAGCCAACTTGGCCTCACCCCACAGCTATTCAAGTTTTGCTAGTCACGGAAGGCTTTCACGCATGGTCAGTGGCTCTGCGGTCAGCACTCCGCACTGCTGCACAGAGCCTTAGTCTAGATGAGGCCAGGCATCTTCCAGAGTTTAAGTGGGGAGAGATGAAAGGTGAGGTGGGCTGGGAAGCAGCTAGCTGA